CATCTTTTGTAATTTGTCCTTTTGTACCTTACTTTTTATATTGTAAATCAACACACAACTGTCATATAGAAGTAATTAACATTAATATTAATCCATCTGATTTTAAGAATATTAAATATAATATAACGGAAGTGAATAAGAAATGGTTTGTTAGTCTCAGTAAGACTTCCATACCGAATTATGTGCAAACATTTTTACAACTTGGGGAAAACTTCTGTTTACCGATTAATAATTTACAATCAACAATGGTCAATTTCATTATGAATATAGAACATAACGTTCAAAGAATTAATTATTTAGATATTAATGAATTAAGAAATAAATGTATAACTATAATCAAGAACATAAATCTTAACAGAACAGGTTTAGAAAGAAAGATTTGTAATATGTATCGTAAAGCAAAAGAATATGTTAGAATAAATTTAAATATTATTTATACACATGTGTGCGTGCGCGCGCGCGTGTGTGTGTGTGTGTGTGTGTGCAGAGCAAGGGTAATATGGTGGTAGCCTTAGATAGATGTGATTACATAACGAAAATGGAAAATATGCTTAAAGACAAGAATACATATTTAAAAATTAAAAGGAATCCGGTAAATGGAGTAATCTCCAAATTGAAAGAATTGTTGAAGAGATGGAAACGAGTGAAAATGATTAACGAGAGTAAATATAAGCATCTCAATGCGTCTAATCAAAACCTTGATATGCTACCCTGATTGTATTATACTTTTTAAAATAATTTTTAAATAATTTATCGCGAGCGTATGGGGTACCAAAAGTTCATAAGAAAGATAGTCTATTACGCATTATTATTTCCTCGATAGGTAGTTCGTTGTATGGTTTAGCGACTTTTTTGCATGATATTCTGAAAAAAAGTTTACCACAATGTGGGGATAGAATTATATTTGACTGGTATCAAAAACCAACATCATCAGGACGATATTTGAATTATTTTTCACAACATCCTTTAGTACACAAAATAGGAGTAATTATCAGTTTAACTAATAAAGTTTTACATCTATCGCAGTCTATGTTTCATCAAAAAAATTTTGAGATGATCATAAAAATATTATTACAAAATAATTACTCAATGGATCTGATTTTCATTAATATAAGAAAAAGATTGCATACAAAATTCAGCTTATTAAACAAGGAATCACTTAATAAAAGCAATGTTAATAACACAGAAAGTAGACAAAATTATTTTACAATATCATTTGTGACTAATATTTCTAATAAAATAAAAAATTATTTAAAAAAGTATAATACAATCAGGGTAGCATATCAAGGTTTTAATAACCTAAATAGTATTATTAAGGTACAAAAGATGTTGTACACAAATGTAGTATATAAAATATTTTGTAAGGATTGTGACGCGACATATGTTGGACAAACGAACAGGACACTAAAAACACGAATAGGCGAACATAAGAATCACATCAATTGGAATACTCAACAACGTTCAGTAATTACAGAACACAGATTAGAATACTGGCATGAGTTTGATTGGAATAATATAAAAATACTTGATGAGGAAAATATGTTAGACAAAAGATTTATCTCGGAAATGATTCATATTCAGAAACAGAAGAATAGTTTGAACATGCAAACGGACACAGATTTGTTAAATAAGAATTATGAATGTTTATTAATGAGTTTCTCTTTCTTCAATTTTTCTTTATTTTATTTTTTAGGTGAAAGGACGGATTATCATTTATCGTGTGAAAAGACGGAACACATCTGTGCTCAGATGTGTTCCGTCTTTTCACACGATAACTTCGTATTTTCTAATCTCAACATTATCATGTAAGTTATTAAATCATAAATATACTATCATTTGTAACAGGTATGAGAGTGTTGTAATACCGAATTTCATTATGTTAAATATCTTTTTTAAACATTTAATAATTAAATTATATATGTTTGTAATTAGCGTTCCGGGAAGAACAATGATATGTTGTCCAATTGTATACATTGATAAGGATCCGAAGCGAGGATCGAAACGTTTGGTAACGAAATTAACGAATAAATTCATTTACACACGAACTACCAATGTTTGACTGGGAAAGGCATCTTCATATGAGGCATTCTTTTACAAACCGAACACTTTTTTTTTCGACAATTTTAAATCGCTTCAAATTTTTTTTACCAATTGTAGGTCTAAAATAAGCGAACACGTGTATCAGGATTTTTTTTAAAAAAATTTATTTTCGAAGAAATAGCGATTTTAAATTTTGAGTTTTGCATTTTATGGTAATTTTCAAGTCGTCGTATCTACGTCGTTTTTTATAGTAGAACAATTTTTTTTCATTTCAAACGTTATTACATCAGCTTTTTGATGAAATTATGTTCTTAACCTCAACTTTAAAAAAAAATACTTTTTTCTGCAAATTAAATCTTAAAAGTTAATTTTGACCATGGCACCCGGAGTTAATTTATTTTTTACAAATACTATCGGATTCCTCGGAAAATTTACTAAAAAATATGAAAATTTCAGAATGGCGTTTTTAAAACTCGCCTGGGAATTAATTAAATA